TTGGGCAGGAGGGTTGGACTAGATGTCCCACAGAGGTCCCTTCCAAACCCTACCATTCTGTGATTCTGTGAAGAGCGAACACAGCCCTGTCCCAGCGGCGCAGGGGCTCTGCGACGCTCTCCTGGGCCAGGACTATCGGTGTTCACCCATCCCGGGATGCGCATCCAGCAAAGGGCGCGGGCAGCGCTGATGGAGGAACTGGGGGGTTTTTGGTCCATGGCTCTGCACAAGGAGCCTTTCCGGGGCAGCCCTGCAGGCCGGTTCTCTGCGACGCCGCAGAACGGGCGGGCAGCTGAATTGTCACGTCCAGCCCCTGAGTCAGCCTCGGGGCACGCGGGTAGCGAGGCGTGCACGGAGAAGGGGAAACCCAGGAGCACAGCTGTCCTGCTGGCACTGCCGGCAAGCGCTCGGGGCTACGGGTCCGGCATCGCAACCAGCTCGAACGAGGTGCATATATAAAAATGCACGTTCAAAAAAGTACGGGCATGTCATGGCCAGCAGAGCCCAGAGAAGCAACGGGACTGTTAGTCCTGCCCAAGGCACACCCCGGAGTCTGCCCGCAGGCAGAAGAAACGACTTTTTATGGGCAGCCCAATGGGTCCCTTCAGCCCTGGCGAGGCTCGTGAGTGCCGCTGCCAAGTCCCAGCATGGGGATCTGGGGAGAAGTGCTAAGCTCCCGTGCAGGATGGGGCACGCACAGCCGAAATAGGCTGGCTGGGGAGGGGAGGAGGCTGGGAACCCGTGCCCTTCTCTTTGCAGAGCACTGGGCAAGGCAGGACACAAGGAGGGAGCAGCTTTCTGCTCATCCGCAGGGACGTGGCTCCGGTCTGTGCAGAGGGACAGCCGGGCACTCTGCCACATCGCAGGGCTGTCGTGCAGGCCACCGCATGCCTCTCGTTGCTGTAGGGCACTGCCCAGCTCAGGAGGATGCGTGGCTCCTAAGAAGCCCTCTCTAAAACACCAGAGCACCTCCCAGACCGCTGTAAATGTGCAGGAGATGGGCTCCGTGGCTCCCCGGGTGTTGGCATGCATGCAGCCCAGCCTCCCGCCTCTGCCGGACCCCAGCTTGTAGAAAATGAGGTGAAATGGGGACGTGACAGGCAGGTATCACTCAAACGCAGCGGGGAATACAGCTGCATGAACCAGTGGTTCCCTTCCACTCCTGCCGCTCAGCGAGACAGACAGACAGCAAATCTCAGCCTGGCCTCCTCGCTACGGCAGCGACACCGCATTCACGCTGGAAAAACCAGGGCAGGATTAACACCCCGTACTTCCACCGCCAACGCCTTTGCTGCTGACGGAAGAAGTTTCTTTCTTCTCCTCTAAACTAAGGCTAAGTCACAGCGTGCTGCCGGGACGTGTGCCCGCAGCAGAGCCTGGCAGCGTGGCTCCTGCTGCGTCTCGGCTGGGTTAGGGTCCCCGTACAGCTGTCAGAGCTGTGGTCAGCCCCCGCGCCCTCCTCACCCCGAAACGGGACCGCCTGCCCGCGGCAGACCCCTGGGACAGGCCCGGATCCCCGCTCCCCCCCTCCCCGGTGCTCCCCTGCGGGTGGGCTGGCGGTCGGGGGGCAATGAGGGACGTGGCGGAGGGCGAATGGCTGCGGGGAGGGCTGTACTTACGCGGGGATCTCATTGCTCAGGTGGCTTGCAAACAAAGAAACAAGGACGTTGAGAAGAGACGGACAGACAGACAGAGACTGACAAACAACAGCTCGACACAGACGGCCTCCGCAGGCAGGGGTCAGGGGAACACGGAATCCGAGGGTCTGGGGTAGATGGACGGAGCCAAATCCAATACCCTGTCCCAGCGCCGCGGAGCTGGGAATTAACCCCGGGGGCTGTAGGAGCAGCGCTGAGGAAGGGTGCGGTGGACCGAGGGTCTCCTTTAGGAGAAATATCCAGCCCAGAGGAGCAGAGGACCTCAGCCAGCAGCTGGGTACCGGGCTCTGCTTATCTCCAGAGAGAAGCCCCAGCGACCAGTACAGCCACAGCGACCACAGGGTCCGAACACGTACCCCTAGCCCATGGGGTCGGGGTCGAGCAGATGCTGGAGAAGGCTAGCCAAGCCCTGTGGCAGCAATGGCCCATCACCGCTGGCAGAACCCACCCTCGCTGCACAGACAGCCACGGAGCTGGCAGCCAGGTGGGAATTAAACCACAGGCAGAGCTCCCTCTCCCCCCAGCACAGCTCACCCAGCCCACAGCCTGAGCACGTGGGCAAAGAAAGGCACGGACCAGGAGCAGGGCACGTTAACCATCTTCACGGGGTGCACTCGGCCAGCTTCATCCCACTCCCAGAACAGACTATGCTAACCCAGAAGGCAGCTCACACGTTGCAGCATGAGAGCATCCATCTGAGGCTGCCCAGGCACTGGGGAAAGCCCTCTCTTCCAGCAAGGCAGCTTCAGAGGTAAGGGCTGGAAGCGAGTGCTCACGGCCACAGTTTGGCTTGCCCCGCTTTGAGCACTGCACTTGGGACTTCTTCAGCCCTAGCTCTTCCTCCTGCTAACAGCCCTAACTCCTTGGTTTTGGCTTTGGTTCAGCTCAGCAGGCAAGTTACCTCTTCGTCACGGCATTGTGGTACTCCATATATGTCCTACCATCAAAAGCAATGGCCTCTGCGTCTCCAGCAGCCTTCTCGATGATCACTGGAGGGGGGAAAAAGAAGAGCTGTCAGGCAACGTAGCATGGCTTGACATCCTCAGAGACTAGAAAAATCCCCCTTTACACTGAGCATTCACGGCAGGGTGAAGGCACGCACAAACCTGCCACCCCTTGGGGCACGCCAGCGCTGTGGCACTCTAAGCAAGCCCCTGGAAAAGTTTTGTTGGGGCTTTAAAGCCCGTGAGTCTGGACCATCTCCCTGTTTTGCAGCCAACTGTCACGAAATCTGCAGCCTCCCTGGTTTGCTGGCTGAAGCTGGGGAGGAACCTGGACTCGGTGATGGCCCAAGTGCTCATCTCGGGGAGGTAGCAGGAGAGAAACCCTGATCTGGAGACACCCAGGCATTGCTCAGGCCCTCCGGGTGAATCTGCTACGGCACCAAACCACATTTCCCTGCCCCGGGCTGCTTCAAGGGAGCAGAGCAACAGGAGACAGGGTCAGCACCCACTGACAGGAGAAGGTGAGAGAGCTGGGTGCTCCACCCTGCCGCACGCGCTGCGATGCCTGCGCTTCTGAGAAATGGCATTGCCTTGACTTCACAGCTGCCCAGCAGTGCCAGCCTGTAAATGCCACAGCTTCTTTCACCTGGATCCCTTCACAATCCCCTGCCGAAGCAGGGTCACCTACAGTAGGCTGCACAGGATCTTGTCCAGGTGGGTCTTGAATATCTCCAGAGAAGGAGACTCCACAACCTCCCTGGGCAGCCTGTTCCAGTGCTCTGTCACCCTCAGAGGGAAGAAGTTCTTCCTCATGTTCAGACGGAACTTCCTGTGCCTCAGTTTGTGCCCATTGCCCCTTGTCCTGTCACTGGGCACCACTGAAAAGAGCTTGGCCCCATCCTCCTGACACCCACCCTGCAGATATTTGTAGGCATTTATAAGGTCCCCTCGCAGCCTTCTCTTCTTCAGGCTGAACAACCCTGTCCGGGTAGCGGGCGAGGGTCCATGCCCAGCCCTGCCCTGGCAGCCTCACCTTTCTCGCAGTGAGCCCCGGAGAAGCCCCTCTGGCAGGCACACTCGTAGCTCTCGAGCCGGGGGCTGCAAGTGCCTCCGTTCTGGCAGGGATTGGGTTTCTGGGTACAGGGGTGGCCTCGGAAGGGGGAGATCTCCATGGCGCTGCGGATGTTCTGCTCCTTCAGCACTGGCACCCCCTTGACGGAGATCTGGCAGATGCAAGCAAGAGGAAGCGTAAGAGTCAGCCTTCACCGCCTCACCTCTCTGCGGTGAGCAGCAGAGCTCAGCACCCTCAGGGGCAAGGGGAGAAGGCAATCCAGCCCCAAGCCCCACACCTTCCTGTGATGGACCCTCGCCTCCCCTTCTGCCACTCCTCAACTGGGCATACGCCCCATGCACGTGGACCCATGTGCCAGGGCAGCCCGCTCCCGGGCTCGTCCTCGCTCTCCTCCAGCCATGCTGGTGCAGACGGGATGTCTCCAAGCCAGACGCCTGCCCCAGGTACGGACTTACCCTCTGCACGGCTCCATCGAAGCTGGTGGAGATGGCAGCTGCTCGAGCTAGCTTGCTGAAATCAGGGGCTCCCCCCACATAAAACGGCTCCTTCAGGTTCAGGAAGGTGTGAGGCACCTGGGGAGGAGAGGGGAGAAGGTGAGACGGAGAAGGTGTCAGGCTATCCCTAAGCTGCAAGCTGGGCACTCGGCCCAGCTCTGTAGGGACTAAAGGAGGCTGCGAGCAGGGCAGCACTGCAGGCACCCACACATGACCAGAAGCCGGGCTGGTGGGAAAGAAATCACCCTCAAGGCATGGGCTGTGTCCTGGAGAGGGCTGGTGTGGGGCACCGCTGGCCACCTCAGCAGCCTGGACTCAGCATCCCACATGGGAGCAGGTCCCCACCTTCTCCTCTGGTCCAGGTGCTGCTCCTGCCCAGCCCGACTGCCCCGCA